CAACCGCTTCTTCAGGCGTCGAAAAACGTTGACCTCGTAATTTATTTTTGATTTGCGGGAATAAAAAGAAGTCGTTGGGTGCCAAATCAGGGCTGTACGGCGGATGACCCATCAATTCGACTTTTTCAGTTCTCAAAAAGTCTCTTGTTTGAGCCGATGTGTGAGAGCTCGCATTGTCCTGGTGGAGAATGATGCGTCTTCGGCGGTAGGTTTTCCTTATTTTTCCGAAGACTTCTGACAAACAAATGGTTGTGTACCATTCAGAATTGACTGTCCGACATTGCATTAATGATACAGTTGCCACATGTCCGGTTTTTCCGAAAAAACAGGCGACCATTTGCTTCGAAGTGCTTCGTGCGCGAACAACTTTTGTTGGATTTGGCTCATCTTAAAAAACCCATACAGTCGATTGCTGTTTACTTTCGGGCTCATACGCATAGATCCATGATTCGTCACCTGTTACGATATCATAGACATGTTTTGAAGCACCGCAATCGTATTTCTGGAGCATTTCTTTCGACCAATCGACACGAGCCTTTTTTTGAGCGATTGTTAAATTATGTGGGATCCAACGCGAACAAATTTTTTTGACAGCTAAATGTTCATGCAATATTGAATGTATGCTGATCCCACTAATGCCCAAGGATGCCTCAATCTCACGATAAGTCACATGACGATCTTGCAATATCAGTTCACGCACAGCATCAATGTTTTCTGGAACAACAACCGATTTTGGACGACCTTCATAAAATTCATCACTAAGCGAACTACGGCCACGATTGAATTCCGTATACCATCGATATATAGTGGTTTTTGATGGTGCTTCATCGCCAAAAGTCGAATTAAGTTCATCGATGCACTATTGTTGAGATAATCCACGTCGAAAATTGTAAAAAATAATCGCACGGAAATGTTCACGACTTAATTCCATTTCTTGGCCGACATCAATTTTTCATGTCACTGTAAACAACACAAATGGCGCATGAACATCAAAACATTCTGAGTAAGTATACTGACAAAAAATCGAACTTTACGTTAGGGACGTCGGTTGTCAGATGGCAGCACCTGGATCGTCCATTCCCGAAATATAAAAGGCAACCTTCGTATTATTGTCTGTTGTACAGCTTTAGCAAATCCTGCATGATAGTAATATCCATTGTCCATATTACTAATACAAGTTGTTCTTGGAGTCCCAAGAAGTGTACGAGAATCTTTCGGAAAATTTATGTGTGTACAATCACGTAATATCCGTAATAAAATAAATTTAATACATTATTATGTATTCTAAATGTCTTAGCTCAATTAGTTATCATTAATTTAAACTGTTTCGAACGCCAAACTTCCGAATTTTCAGCTTCTACATATTTTTCATCATCAGTATTAAAATTGTGATAATGTACAGTTTGACGAGACATTTCAATATTGTCATATGCAACACATTCTTCGTCGTCATTCTCACTGTCACTGTATCTATACTCGCATATATCTTCACCATTTGTAAGACAAATATATACTGTCATTACTTCAAGAACACCATGTTACTGAAATAGAACGTGATATATTTATAATATGTCATAATAAATAAACAGAAAAAGTAATGTATATTGTATTCACAAATAATCACGTTTACCAAGCACAACTAAAATTCATCTGTTATGTTGTATAATTACCATATTATTCATATTGTTACCTGCTTCAGTATAATAATATTCATCCTCAATATCACATGCATTATTGTCAATGGAGTTTTCATTGTCACTAATGTTTGTACCAGGCTCATTGTGGTATTGCAAGTGTATGACATTACTTGTGCTTGCTGCAATATTATATTATTACCTATACTGTTACACACACATACATACTTTTCTATACTATTTTAATATACTTTCTGGCCCATATTCAAAACGCGCTTACAACAATGTTACAACACTGACAAGTCAAGTATAGACAATCAGAAGGCTTATAAGCCACTTCTGATTGGCTATATTCAACTTGTCAGTGAGCTGACATGATTGTAAACGCGTTCTATGTATGGGTCTTTGTTTTACAGTTATCGTTACCTTGGAAATTATCATTTGCAACATCCCGTACCCACTGTCCATTTGTGTCTTTGATACTGGATTGTACTTTTGTCAGTAACAACTGTATATCTATTTTTGTTTGTTCCTTAGCACAACGTTACAAATGTCTTTTGCTTACATGTTTATGTACTTTGCCTTCTTGTGGCATATTTGAGGGAGTTACTTGAATCTTTCTTCTACAATTAGGCACAATATTTATGTATGCATTAGTAGTACTGCTTTACTAACAATTACTAAAATAGTACAAATCTCCAAAGGAGATTACATCTCTGCGACAGCCCTTGCACATTTTGTGCTGTTTGTATATATATATTTTTATAACATTGTTTTAGATTACATTTTAACCGGCACTTTAATAGCTGATATATTTTCCACCATGTATGGCGGTAGTACAAAACAAATATTTTAACCACTTTTTCATATACATCACATTATTACAGAGAGCACCGTAGTTCACCACTTTTCAACTTCAAAGAATCACACGACGTACCACATGGTTGGTCGAATCCGACCGAAACGAGAATTACGAATTATTATTATTGTTATTTTATGAAAAATATTTTGTCTAAATCAATAAAATAAAATACAGAATTAATCGAGAAAAAAGTAAAGTTAATAACAAGGTCGGTCGAATTTGACCGGAAAAACGCGCCCGGGTGGAAAAATTTGGTTAGGTATATCGGACGAAATCATAGACCTTATATACAGGGTGCACGATTTATCTGAAGACATTGAAATATCTCGAGAACTATGCATTGGATAAAAAAAGTGGTTAATGAAAGTTGTTAGTCTCGAAAGGGAACATCCAATGATACCAAACTCGATCTCCCACCCCACCCCCTGGGGGTGGGGGTTGGGGGCAACTTTGAAATCTTAAATGGAAACCCCCATTTTTAATGGGGACCCACATTTTTCATTGCAGAATTAGATTGTACGTGAAATTTTTATTGAAACAATTTTTTTCATTCGTGATAGATAGCATTGTACTGCCTTTTATAATAAGCCGTAGTTCGCCATACACCCACAGTGGCACGTCGAGCAGTTCCCTCTTCGATTCGGGTTCCCATTTGAGATTTGAACGTTACCACCCACCCTACCCCGAGAGGATGGGGGGGAATAACTTTTATTATGTTCTTTAAAAATATTGAACAGGTATTTTTTATTTCTCAATCCAATCAATGATCATTTCTGGAGAATTGCGGAAAATATAATTTTTTGCGATTACAGCGCCATCACGAATCAAAAAAAAAGTTTCGGACAAAATTTACGTATTTTGTGGCGTAGAATCCGTATCTGCAATAAAAAATGGGGGGTTTCCATGTTTCCATTTAAGATTTCAAAGTTGCCCTCAACCCCCACCCCCAGGGGGTGGGGTGGGAGGTCGAGTTTGGTATCATTGGATGTCCCCCTTCGAGACTAACAACTTTCATTAACTACTTTTTTTATCCAATGCATAGTTCTCGAGATATTTCAATGTCTTCAGATAAATTGTGCACCCTGTATATGGACTGGCAATTGACAATAGTTTCTGTTGAGAAGTGATGTCCGGAGGAGGTTAGACAGAGAAACGTACTTTTCGGGACTTCTCTGTCGTTTCGTCTCCGGAAATATGCTTTGCGCATGCGTGACTGGTATATAGGTTAGAGTGAGATAAATATATTTTTTATCTCACTCTAACTTATTACACATTTAACACGCAGCCCAGCAATCGCTACAAATGCTTCGAAGCGTTTTTACTTCCTTCTCTCTCTCTTCACTCGAATCCGGAAAGTAGAAAAAGAAGGAGAAACGCTTCGAGGCATTTGTAGCGGGGGCTGGACCGCACCCATTGTCGTGTCTCTTGATGTTACATTTACTATTTCTAGATGTTAGCATATGAAACATTATTTATATATTTTTGTATAGAATCGAAAGATACTTAATAATAGAATTAATATCATTGACATAAATCATTCAGAGGGTTTCATGAAGGGAAATAAAAATACACAAAATTATACTCAGTATCTTTATTCATGCTGAAATAAAATTAATTTTGTTAATTTCTGTCTTTCCTTTTTTTCTTTGTCATACATTTTTCCTAAATGATGACATCGTATGTTTACATAACATTCTATAATACTTACAATTAATTGCTTTTTATGATTATTGAATGGTTCCTGAGATAGAATATGATCACTCATGTCTAAAAAGACACAAGGTAATACATATTGTACAACACGGTTTATAATTACAGGTTTTACATTTATTTTAAAAATATCACTTTGATATTGTCTAATAATTCTTTCTACCCATGTACAAACATAAAAAATGTCTTTTGATGATTTTCCTTCTAACGTGGATGTATTTGTTATCTTACATACAGATAAAGTTGAATCATCAGCTCTATAACAAACGAATTACAAAATACATGTAAATTTTCCATTAATCATCAATAATTAAACGTTAAAAAATAACTAACATTTTCTTAAAAGCAAAAATATCATACCTTAGTGATGTAATAGTGTTATATATATATATAGGTAAAATATAAAATATACCCAAAGGAAAAATATTTAACTTGTAATTTTACATGTGTTGCATTGGAGTTATTTTTCACATCTTATTAATGCGTTCTAAGAAACTATTTTTAAGATATTTTGATTTGATTAATAATATAAATTTTGTTTTTCATTTTTTTAGAATAAGAAAACAGTCTTTGTCTGCTTCAATTATTTTACCAGACTCGTTTTCTTCATCAATGTTAGAGACATTGCAGAGACATTGCAGAGACATTGTTAGAGACAATGTTAGAGACGCAGCAAATATAGTTCAACCTATTCATAATGAAAAAGAAGAAATGGAATTTACATATATATATATATATATATATTACAAATATATATATATATATTTATATATATATTACCTTTTTAAATGTTTTATTTTCTCCAAAAAATAATAATGGAACTGCATCGTTCTTCAATAATCTACGTCCTTCATTCCATGCTTTAAATTGTAAAGAACTGAAGTGACGTGAACAAATCTTACTTTTTTTCTTTATTGTACTTAAATTGTACGCTTCCATCCATAACTTTTTATATTTTTCATTTGTTGGGAAACTAAAATTGTTAATGTTTAGTTAATATAATTTAGTTAATAATAATATAGAGTATCTTACAACATCGACCCGTTAGAGGCATAGAACAAGTAAAGGTTGTTGAATGAGCGTCGAGGCGATTATGCGGAAGCTTCATCTCGATAGGAAGCATGGAATCTACGTGGATTCACGTGGAGTCCACGTCGAATCTATGCTTCAATCTGTGCTTCACATGAATTCGACGTGGATTCCACGTCCCATTCCTATCGAGATGATAGCTGACTTTTTCTTTACTTCTATGTCATTGTATAACTAAAATTTGCTTAATACTTACGAATGAAAAGAAACACTATTTTTCGTACAATACTTCACACCGCAAAGGACACATGTTTCAACCATGGTGAAGTTTTCTTCTTTTTAAGATCTTTTTAAAAGATCAGATCATTTATCCCATCAAGCGCTATCCAATATCTGGCACAACACAGATACCTACATCGCCATGTTTGCAGAAACTATATCATGTTGCGTACAACCAATCAGAATAGTTTATTTAATCCACGCATGCACAAAACATATTTCCGGAGATGAAAAGACAGAGAAGTCCCGAAAAGTACGTTTCTCTGTCTAACCTCCTCCGGACACGATCTGCTATGTATGACCAGTCCATATATATAAGGTCTATGGACGAAATGCTCCAAAATCTCGTATATCTGACGCTACGTAGCCGTTGCAGGAATACTATATAAGAACACTACAAAGATAATGTGAATTACGTAAAACTTACTGCTGTTATTCTTCCTACGTTTCACGCTCTTTTTTATCCAGCCGTCGAATCTGTGCGTATTCTGCGTACAAAGAGTGGTCTTTATCCGGCGCTTCGAAGCATCTAGTGGATCCTATCAGTAGTCCCGATTTTGGGTGCGTTCACAAACGTTATACTTTCAGGATACCTTCGGAAACGTTACCAGGTGCTCTTACCGGCACGGACAATATTGGAAATTATGTAATCATAAATGGCAGGCTCGCATATAATATTCTAACTATTAATTTCAAATATTAAAAAAAATTATATTTAATATTTATCATATACGTTTTTCTATTATTGATCAAAATATTTATGATATATATTTATATTATATTATTAAAAGATGTCAAAAAATATATTTTTTTTTATAATCATAAATATTTTTCTTAATATTTTCAAAATATATTCTAAATATTTTTTCTATTCCTTTTATATTCTTCATCACATCTTTATCCGAAATATGTATATAATATTTACTACATATTTATGCAAAATATTTTTTCACAATATTTATGAATCTTTCTCATAAATATTTTTCATTAATGCGTGCTGTCTGGGATGTAATAATTATATATTCTTATTTTAATTTTGAATATATCAAGGTCCAACATGAATATGAATTGTTACAAGTTAAAAAATATACCTGAAATTGATTTAATTTTCGAAAAACTTTCGTTAATTAGTGGTTGTCGACATTTATTTAAATTAATTGATAATGACGAGACTTCTGAAACAGAATCTGCATCTGATTCTATATTGGAATTATCCAACTGCCTGAATTGACATATATTTTTACTAGATAAAAAGTCATTATTGTTAGATGTATCATCTTTGGTACTGATTGTTGGATCAGACAACTTTATTTTCTAAAATAAAAAATTTTGTAAATATTAAATATTTTGTATTTATTATAGAGAAGAGTTATCCAGACAGCATAAATTTGTAAGGGAATATCCTGGGCTACTATCCAAAACCCTACTCAATGGATAGAGTAACGTTTATTAATCAATAATGATAAAGAAATCTTTGTCAATTAGTCAAGTAAATGTTACTCTATCCTTCGAGTAAGGTTTTTAAATACAACTTGGAAATGTCCTAAAGACGTAAAGACATCTGTATGTCTTTAGATGTCTTTTGGAAGTTTGTGCTGTCTAGGTTATTTTTTATAGAAAGAATAGTTACCTTAGATTTTTTACCATCTGCAGAAATAGTCGGCTGTATAGTATAACTGTGTATGGTTGCTGATGTAGATTGTATTACAGCTTCTATATTTTTTAGACCTTTTTGGGATAAAGTACGACCAGAGTGAAATTCAAGTTGGAATCCACTCTGATCCGAATTATAAACATTGTCTACGCCGTATCGTTCAATATAATATTTTACATTTTCAATAAATGTATTACACTTATCTTCTAAATCTGTTTTCGATAACAATGATTTTTTTGTTACAAATTTTGTTATTTTTCGAGAGACGATATCATATGAAGTTTTGAATCTTTTTACCCACGTTTCGGAAGCTTTGAATCCTACCACATTTTTCTCTTCTTGTGCTCGAGAAGCCCATCGAGCAATGTCAATGTCATGAATAATTATCCTATTTTCAAGCGCTTCATTAAAACGGTTTGTTATATATTCAGAAATTCTTTTTAATTTTTCATCTTTGCTGCTACCTGCACTGATTTGGTCCTTCCATCGTCGTAATTGTCGCATCGATGTTACTTTTCTGTATCTTCTTTTAACTCCTTCAAGCGATCTTGCTCCTGTTTTACCGCTCTTCCAGTATTTCACAGCTTGCCTTTTATAATCATTTGATATTCCTGCTTCAACGGAGCTACAAATAACTTCTTCCGGGAGATATTCTTTTCTTTCATTTTTCTCTAATAAATCAATATTTTCCGCTTCTGGAACTTCATATGTATTGTAAAAATCTAAAGTTTCTTCCTCTTATATTTCAAATTCCTCATTTTCTATTTCTTTTAACAAATATTCAATCTTCTCCTTCACTTCTACTTCTTTTGGAGTTATCGGACTTTGTGGAAAGTTAAGAGCAATGAAAGTTGTATAGAGTAACATTATAACATTCAAGGGATTAAATTGCATCATTCTGAAAAATATTAAAATGAAATATTTTTCTCGAACCATGATATATAAAATAATATATAAAATAAAACACACTTTATAATTAATGCAGTGATTTTCTTATGTTAATCCTGATGCCGCTTCTTCTCTCTGTCAATCAAATATATGTAATGAATCCAGAATAAATTAATGTCGTGAAAACGGAAAGACAGCTCTATATTTACGTATGTAGATATTCTGAAATTGAAAAACTACACATATTTTTTCTTCAAATTAGTAAAAATTTTCTTTGATTATTAATCATTATTATATATAATTTATAATTTAACTCTTGCTCAATTTCGCTCCATTTTTTCGTATATTATCACATTACTGATAACTCGACAAACTATTGCAATTCCAATAATATAAAATAGAGAGTGACAAGATATGTAATAATAAATATAAAATAATAATATCAGTTAGTAATAAATACTTATGTATTTAACAAAGAATGTATTAAAAGAAGTTTTAAACACACATAGAGAGAAAGCAATATGTACTTGTAAACTTGCGCTCACAAATGATACGTCGTGAAACGATGGATACTTACTGCGACACTAGCTTGTACTACTGCTTATATATGAAATGTATCTCTACATATTACGCTTACTCATGATTTGCGTCGCATGTGGCTGCTTTCCAGCACTTTAAATAGCTCACATAACTGTAAAGGCCATCGCACACAAAATGCATAGAACAGAAGCATAACATAGCATAAGCATAAGAAAGATATGTAACCTACACGAACATACATAGATGTATGTTTTGACTATAAGTGGCATTTTGGAACGTATGTTTTGACCAATAAGTGGCATTTCAGAACATATTCCAAACCTAAATATGATTACGTGTCAAATTAGGATGGAGACGTAAAAAACGTGCAAACTAGTACATAAAATGGACACATATGATTATATTTACACGACATTAATATCAAGTTATATCGTGTTGCGAAAGCGCAAACAAAATAAAAAAAAACGATTTTGGGTACGACCTATCTATGTACGTAGACCATTATTTGTTGACTTCCAATATCTTTTCAAGAATTAAAAGAAGATGGTGAAATGTTTTTTAAATACACAAGAATGAATCTTGTTACTTTTAATAAATTGTTGGATATGTTACGGCCTCATCTGGAAAAAAGAAATTGGAGAGCACTACCAGTAGAACAACGGCTTATTATTATGCTCAGGTATTAATATATGTTTTTATTGTAAGTTATTGCAAGTTTATATTGTAGTTAATGATTTTTTTCTTTCAGATTTCTTGCAACAGGAGATCAAATATCTTCAATTGCATTTGCACATCGAATAGGTGAATCAACTATATACAAAATTATTAAAGAGACATGTGCAGTGACAGTACGAGTTTTAGGCCCCAAATATTTAAGGCTACCTATAAAGGAAGACTGGAAAAAAATCGCTGCTGGATTTTGGAAGCATTGGAATTTTCCTAATTGTTTAGGAGCGATTGACGGGAAACATTTTGTTATCAAAACACCTCCAAATTCTGGTAGCTTATATTTTAATTATAAAAAAACTTTTAGCATTGTTTTATTAGCTGCATGCGATTACCGATATGTTTTTACTGTAGTAGACTGTGGTGCATATAGAAGCGCAAGTGATGGTGGAATATTTGCACAGTCAGAATTTGGAAAGTGCTTAAATAACGAACTTGATATATCTGAAAATATCAAGTTACCTCTATCAAATGTAGAAATGCCGTATTATTTTGTAGCCGACGAGGCATTTCCTTTATCGAAAAGATTAATGCGGCCTTATCCTGAACATTTTCTGAGTGAGAAAATGTTGAGGATTAAAATGAATGTAATGACACAGAGATACATTGCACCTTTATGTATATTCAATAAGGTTTACAATCCAAGAAAAGAAACGATAGAACAAAACGTTATGACGGGTTTTAGAGAGCGAACACAACATGGCTCAAGAAGAGGTACACATAAGACAAAGAAGAAGGAGGGCTTTAGTAGAATCTGGAACACATAGATGTCGCCATAGAACGTCTTGAATATACATTTCTTAACAGAAAGTTAATTTTTAATTATCGATTATCAAGAGCTAGACGTATTATTGAAAATACGTTCGGCATTCTGGTTTCAAGGTGGAGAATTTTTCAACGTAGTATATGTTTAAACTCAGAGTTGTTGTTGAGTATAGTTGTTCTTAGTTGAGTATAGTTGTTCTTAGTATAATTGATATGTAATTGAGGATGTCATGGTATTCAGACTATAAGAGGTAGTTGTTATTCGCACTGTGCCTTGTGCTGTCTTTCATCTAGACAGCACACAAGAAAGAGGACCAAATACATTTCAGTCCTGCACGTGCTCTCTCTATAAAGTCTGTTCTAAAGTCTACACTTTCCGCGGTGTCGCAACTTTCTGCGAAACAGCACAAGTAATAGACATTCGCAATCTCTAATTTAAATTTTTCGCAATGATCTTTTCGCATTGATGATGATGGACGACTATTTACAATGCGTGACGAAAGCTAATATATACAGCGGTGGAATGATTTATGAGATGTTCCGGGCTATTTGTGTTGTCATGCAACAGAATAAATTATAGTGATGATCATTGATGGGATAATGAATTGCATTGAACACAAGTTTCGACACTTAACCTGAAAGCGTTACAAATGTCTTTTGCTTACATGTTTATGTACTTTGCCTTCTTGTGGCATATTTGAGGGAGTTACTTGAATCTTTCTTCTACAATTAGGCACAATATTTATGTATGCATTAGTAGTACTGCTTTACTAACAATTACTAAAATAGTACAAATCTCCAAAGGAGATTACATCTCTGCGACAGCCCTTGCACATTTTGTGCTGTTTGTATATATATATTTTTATAACATTGTTTTAGATTACATTTTAACCGGCACTTTAATAGCTGATATATTTTCCACCATGTATGGCGGTAGTACAAAACAAATATTTTAACCACTTTTTCATATACATCACATTATTACAGAGAGCACCGTAGTTCACCACTTTTCAACTTCAAAGAATCACACGACGTACCACATGGTTGGTCGAATCCGACCGAAACGAGAATTACGAATTATTATTATTGTTATTTTATGAAAAATATTTTGTCTAAATCAATAAAATAAAATACAGAATTAATCGAGAAAAAAGTAAAGTTAATAACAAGGTCGGTCGAATTTGACCGGAAAAACGCGCCCGGGTGGAAAAATTTGGTTAGGTATATCGGACGAAATCATAGACCTTATATACAGGGTGCACGATTTATCTGAAGACATTGAAATATCTCGAGAACTATGCATTGGATAAAAAAAGTGGTTAATGAAAGTTGTTAGTCTCGAAAGGGAACATCCAATGATACCAAACTCGATCTCCCACCCCACCCCCTGGGGGTGGGGGTTGGGGGCAACTTTGAAATCTTAAATGGAAACCCCCATTTTTAATGGGGACCCACATTTTTCATTGCAGAATTAGATTGTACGTGAAATTTTTATTGAAACAATTTTTTTCATTCGTGATAGATAGCATTGTACTGCCTTTTATAATAAGCCGTAGTTCGCCATACACCCACAGTGGCACGTCGAGCAGTTCCCTCTTCGATTCGGGTTCCCATTTGAGATTTGAACGTTACCACCCACCCTACCCCGAGAGGATGGGGGGGGAATAACTTTTATTATGTTCTTTAAAAATATTGAACAGGTATTTTTTATTTCTCAATCCAATCAATGATCATTTCTGGAGAATTGCGGAAAATATAATTTTTTGCGATTACAGCGCCATCACGAATCAAAAAAAAAGTTTCGGACAAAATTTACGTATTTTGTGGCGTAGAATCCGTATCTGCAATAAAAAATGGGGGGTTTCCATGTTTCCATTTAAGATTTCAAAGTTGCCCTCAACCCCCACCCCCAGGGGGTGGGGTGGGAGGTCGAGTTTGGTATCATTGGATGTCCCCCTTCGAGACTAACAACTTTCATTAACTACTTTTTTTATCCAATGCATAGTTCTCGAGATATTTCAATGTCTTCAGATAAATTGTGCACCCTGTATATGGACTGGCAATTGACAATAGTTTCTGTTGAGAAGTGATGTCCGGAGGAGGTTAGACAGAGAAACGTACTTTTCGGGACTTCTCTGTCGTTTCGTCTCCGGAAATATGCTTTGCGCATGCGTGACTGGTATATAGGTTAGAGTGAGATAAATATATTTTTTATCTCACTCTAACTTATTACACATTTAACACGCAGCCCAGCAATCGCTACAAATGCTTCGAAGCGTTTTTACTTCCTTCTCTCTCTCTTCACTCGAATCCGGAAAGTAGAAAAAGAAGGAGAAACGCTTCGAGGCATTTGTAGCGGGGGCTGGACCGCACCCATTGTCGTGTCTCTTGATGTTACATTTACTATTTCTAGATGTTAGCATATGAAACATTATTTATATATTTTTGTATAGAATCGAAAGATACTTAATAATAGAATTAATATCATTGACATAAATCATTCAGAGGGTTTCATGAAGGGAAATAAAAATACACAAAATTATACTCAGTATCTTTATTCATGCTGAAATAAAATTAATTTTGTTAATTTCTGTCTTTCCTTTTTTTCTTTGTCATACATTTTTCCTAAATGATGACATCGTATGTTTACATAACATTCTATAATACTTACAATTAATTGCTTTTTATGATTATTGAATGGTTCCTGAGATAGAATATGATCACTCATGTCTAAAAAGACACAAGGTAATACATATTGTACAACACGGTTTATAATTACAGGTTTTACATTTATTTTAAAAATATCACTTTGATATTGTCTAATAATTCTTTCTACCCATGTACAAACATAAAAAATGTCTTTTGATGATTTTCCTTCTAACGTGGATGTATTTGTTATCTTACATACAGATAAAGTTGAATCATCAGCTCTATAACAAACGAATTACAAAATACATGTAAATTTTCCATTAATCATCAATAATTAAACGTTAAAAAATAACTAACATTTTCTTAAAAGCAAAAATATCATACCTTAGTGATGTAATAGTGTTATATATATATATAGGTAAAATATAAAATATACCCAAAGGAAAAATATTTAACTTGTAATTTTACATGTGTTGCATTGGAGTTATTTTTCACATCTTATTAATGCGTTCTAAGAAACTATTTTTAAGATATTTTGATTTGATTAATAATATAAATTTTGTTTTTCATTTTTTTAGAATAAGAAAACAGTCTTTGTCTGCTTCAATTATTTTACCAGACTCGTTTTCTTCATCAATGTTAGAGACATTGCAGAGACATTGCAGAGACATTGTTAGAGACAATGTTAGAGACGCAGCAAATATAGTTCAACCTATTCATAATGAAAAAGAAGAAATGGAATTTACATATATATATATATATATATATTACAAATATATATATATATATTTATATATATATTACCTTTTTAAATGTTTTATTTTCTCCAAAAAATAATAATGGAACTGCATCGTTCTTCAATAATCTACGTCCTTCATTCCATGCTTTAAATTGTAAAGAACTGAAGTGACGTGAACAAATCTTACTTTTTTTCTTTATTGTACTTAAATTGTACGCTTCCATCCATAACTTTTTATATTTTTCATTTGTTGGGAAACTAAAATTGTTAATGTTTAGTTAATATAATTTAGTTAATAATAATATAGAGTATCTTACAACATCGACCCGTTAGAGGCATAGAACAAGTAAAGGTTGTTGAATGAGCGTCGAGGCGATTATGCGGAAGCTTCATCTCGATAGGAAGCATGGAATCTACGTGGATTCACGTGGAGTCCACGTCGAATCTATGCTTCAATCTGTGCTTCACATGAATTCGACGTGGATTCCACGTCCCATTCCTATCGAGATGATAGCTGACTTTTTCTTTACTTCTATGTCATTGTATAACTAAAATTTGCTTAATACTTACGAATGAAAAGAAACACTATTTTTCGTACAATACTTCACACCGCAAAGGACACATGTTTCAACCATGGTGAAGTTTTCTTCTTTTTAAGATCTTTTTAAAAGATCAGATCATTTATCCCATCAAGCGCTATCCAATATCTGGCACAACACAGATACCTACATCGCCATGTTTGCAGAAACTATATCATGTTGCGTACAACCAATCAGAATAGTTTATTTAATCCACGCATGCACAAAACATATTTCCGGAGATGAAAAGACAGAGAAGTCCCGAAAAGTACGTTTCTCTGTCTAACCTCCTCCGGACACGATCTGCTATGTATGACCAGTCCATATATATAAGGTCTATGGACGAAATGCTCCAAAATCTCGTATATCTGACGCTACGTAGCCGTTGCAGGAATACTATATAAGAACACTACAAAGATAATGTGAATTACGTAAAACTTACTGCTGTTATTCTTCCTACGTTTCACGCTCTTTTTTATCCAGCCGTCGAATCTGTGCGTATTCTGCGTACAAAGAGTGGTCTTTATCCGGCGCTTCGAAGCATCTAGTGGATCCTATCAGTAGTCCCGATTTTGGGTGCGTTCACAAACGTTATACTTTCAGGATACCTTCGGAAACGTTACCAGGTGCTCTTACCGGCACGGACAATATTGGAAATTATGTAATCATAAATGGCAGGCTCGCATATAATATTCTAACTATTAATTTCAAATATTAAAAAAAATTATATTTAATATTTATCATATACGTTTTTCTATTATTGATCAAAATATTTATGATATATATTTATATTATATTATTAAAAGATGTCAAAAAATATATTTTTTTTATAATCATAAATATTTTTCTTAATATTTTCAAAATATATTCTAAATATTTTTTCTATTCCTTTTATATTCTTCATCACATCTTTATCCGAAATATGTATATAATATTTACTACATATTTATGCAAAATATTTTTTCACAATATTTATGAATCTTTCTCATAAATATTTTTCATTAATGCGTGCTGTCTGGGATGTAATAATTATATATTCTTATTTTAATTTTGAATATATCAAGGTCCAACATGAATATGAATTGTTACAAGTTAAAAAATATACCTGAAATTGATTTAATTTTCAAAAAACTTTCGTTAATTAGTGGTTGTCGACATTTATTTAAATTAATTGATAATGACGAGACTTCTGAAACAGAATCTGCATCTGATTCTATATTGGAATTATCCAACTGCCTGAATTGACATATATTTTTACTAGATAAAAAGTCATTATTGTTAGATGTATCATCTTTGGTACTGATTGTTGGATCAGACAACTTTATTTTCTAAAATAAAAAATTTTGTAAATATTAAATATTTTGTATTTATTATAGAGAAGAGTTATCCAGACAGCATAAATTTGTAAGGGAATATCCTGGGCTACTATCCAAAGCCCTACTCAATGGATAGAGTAACGTTTATTAATCAATAATGATAAAGAAATCTTTGTCAATTAGTCAAGTAAATGTTACTCTATCCTTCGAGTAAGGTTTTTAAATACAACTTGGAAATGTCCTAAAGACGTAAAGACATCTGTATGTCTTTAGATGTCTTTTGGAAGTTTGTGCTGTCTAGGTTATTTTTTATAGAAAGAATAGTTACCTTAGATTTTTTACCATCTGCAGAAATAGTCGGCTGTATAGTATAACTGTGTATGGTTGCTGATGTAGATTGTATTACAGCTTCTATATTTTTTAGACCTTTTTGGGATAAAGTACGACCAGAGTGAAATTCAAGTTGGAATCCACTCTGATCCGAATTATAAACATTGTCTACGCCGTATCGTTCAATATAATATTTTACATTTTCAATAAATGTATTACACTTATCTTCTAAATCTGTTTTCGATAACAATGATTTTTTTGTTACAAATTTTGTTATTTTTCGAGAGACGATATCATATGAAGTTTTGAATCTTTTTACCCACGTTTCGGAAGCTTTGAATCCTACCACATTTTTCTCTTCTTGTGCTCGAGAAGCCCATCGAGCAATGTCAATGTCATGAATAATTATCCTATTTTCAAGCGCTTCATTAAAACGGTTTGTTATATATTCAGAAATTCTTTTTAATTTTTCATCTTTGCTGCTACCTGCACTGATTTGGTCCTTCCATCGTCGTAATTGTCGCATCGATGTTACTTTTCTGTATCTTCTTTTAACTCCTTCAAGCGATCTTGCTCCTGTTTTACCGCTCTTCCAGTATTTCACAGCTTGCCTTTTATAATCATTTGATATTCCTGCTTCAACGGAGCTACAAATAACTTCTTCCGGGAGATATTCTTTTCTTTCATTTTTCTCTAATAAATCAATATTTTCCGCTTCTGGAACTTCATATGTATTGTAAAAATCTAAAGTTTCTTCCTCTTATATTTCAAATTCCTCATTTTCTATTTCTTTTAACAAATATTCAATCTTCTCCTTCACTTCTACTTCTTTTGGAGTTATCGGACTTTGTGGAAAGTTAAGAGCAATGAAAGTTGTATAGAGTAACATTATAACATTCAAGGGATTAAATTGCATCATTCTGAAAAATATTAAAATGAAATATTTTTCTCGAACCATGATATATAAAATAATATATAAAATAAAACACACTTTATAATTAATGCAGTGATTTTCTTATGTTAATCCTGATGCCGCTTCTTCTCTCTGTCAATCAAATATATGTAATGAATCCAGAATAAATTAATGTCGTGAAAACGGAAAGACAGCTCTATATTTACGTATGTAGATATTCTGAAATTGAAAAACTACACATATTTTTTCTTCAAATTAGTAAAAATTTTCTTTGATTATTAATCATTATTATATATAATTTATAATTTAACTCTTGCTCAATTTCGCTCCATTTTTTCGTATATTATCACATTACTGATAACTCGACAAACTATTGCAATTCCAATAATATAAAATAGAGAGTGACAAGATATGTAATAATAAATATAAAATAATAATATCAGTTAGTAATAAATACTTATGTATTTAACAAAGAATGTATTAAAAGAAGTTTTAAACACACATAGAGAGAAAGCAATATGTACTTGTAAACTTGCGCTCACAAATGATACGTCGTGAAACGATGGATACTTACTGCGACACTAGCTTGTACTACTGCTTATATATGAAATGTATCTCTACATATTACGCTTACTCATGATTTGCGTCGCATGTGGCTGCTTTCCAGCACTTTAAATAGCTCACATAACTGTAAAGGCCATCGCACACAAAATGCATAGAACAGAAGCATAACATAGCATAAGCATAAGAAAGATATGTAACCTACACGAACATACATAGATGTATGTTTTGACTATAAGTGGCATTTTGGAACGTATGTTTTGACCAATAAGTGGCATTTCAGAACATATTCCAAACCTAAATATGATTACGTGTCAAATTAGGATGGAGACATAAAAAACGTGCAAACTAGTACATAAAATGGACACATATGATTATATTTACACGACATTAATATCAAGTTATATCGTGTTGCGAAAGCGCAAACAAAATAAAAAAAAACGATTTTGGGTACGACCTATCTATGTACGTAGACCATTATTTGTTGACTTCCAATATCTTTTCAAGAATTAAAAGAAGATGGTGAAATGTTTTTTAAATACACAAGAATGAATCTTGTTACTTTTAATAAATTGTTGGATATGTTACGGCCTCATCTGGAAAAAAGAAATTGGAGAGCACTACCAGTAGAACAACGGCTTATTATTATGCTCAGGTATTAATATATGTTTTTATTGTAAGTTATTGCAAGTTTATATTGTAGTTAATGATTTTTTTCTTTCAGATTTCTTGCAACAGGAGATCAAATATCTTCAATTGCATTTGCACATCGAATAGGTGAATCAACTATATACAAAATTATTAAAGAGACATGTGCAGTGACAGTACGAGTTTTAGGCCCCAAATATTTAAGGCTACCTATAAAGGAAGACTGGAAAAAAATCGCTGCTGGATTTTGGAAGCATTGGAATTTTCCTAATTGTTTAGGAGCGATTGACGGGAAACATTTTGTTATCAAAACACCTCCAAATTCTGGTAGCTTATATTTTAATTATAAAAAAACTTTTAGCATTGTTTTATTAGCTGCATGCGATTACCGATATGTTTTTACTGTAGTAGACTGTGGTGCATATAGAAGCGCAAGTGATGGTGGAATATTTGCACAGTCAGAATTTGGAAAGTGCTTAAATAACGAACTTGATATATCTGAAAATATCAAGTTACCTCTATCAAATGTAGAAATGCCGTATTATTTTGTAGCCGACGAGGCATTTCCTTTATCGAAAAGATTAATGCGGCCTTATCCTGAACATTTTCTGAGTGAGAAAATGTTGAGGATTAAAATGAATGTAATGACACAGAGATACATTGCACCTTTATGTATATTCAATAAGGTTTACAATCCAAGAAAAGAAACGATAGAACAAAACGTTATGACGGGTTTTAGAGAGCGAACACAACATGGCTCAAGAAGAGGTACACATAAGACAAAGAAGAAGGAGGGCTTTAGTAGAATCTGGAACACATAGATGTCGCCATAGAACGTCTTGAATATACATTTCTTAACAGAAAGTTAATTTTTAATTATCGATTATCAAGAGCTAGACGTATTATTGAAAATACGTTCGGCATTCTGGTTTCAAGGTGGAGAATTTTTCAACGTAGTATATGTTTAAACTCAGAGTTGTTGTTGAGTATAGTTGTTCTTAGTTGAGTATAGTTGTTCTTAGTATAATTGATATGTAATTGAGGATGTCATGGTATTCAGACTATAAGAGGTAGTTGTTATTCGCACTGTGCCTTGTGCTGTCTTTCATCTAGACAGCACACAAGAAAGAGGACCAAATACATTTCAGTCCTGCACGTGCTCTCTCTATAAAGTCTGTTCTAAAGTCTACACTTTCCGCGGTGTCGCAACTTTCTGCGAAACAGCACAAGTAATAGACATTCGCAATCTCTAATTTAAATTTTTCGCAATGATCTTTTCGCATTGATGATGATGGACGACTATTTACAATGCGTGACGAAAGCTAATATATACAGCGGTGGAATGATTTATGAGATGTTCCGGGCTATTTGTGTTGTCATGCAACAGAATAAATTATAGTGATGATCATTGATGGGATAATGAATTGCATTGAACACAAGTTTCGACACTTAACCTGAAAGCGCATGTAGATACAATAATAATGGCTGCAATAAATTTGCATAATTTTCTAATGATAGAAAATAACAAGATACCAAGCGAAACCACTTACTGTCTTCTAAATTATGTTGATAGAGAAGGCAACACAGGAAATGTAATATTAGGTGAATGGAGGCTTAATGTAAATAATACGAATAATTTACGACCTACAAATATATATAGAGCAGCAAGAGAAGCTTATATTCAAAGAGATATTCTATCTAAATATTTATCATCACCACAAGGTGAATTATCATGACAAATGGAATACATTCATAGGGGATATAACAAAGACATATAATAAAAATATACACAATATATTTATAACTTTCATTTTATGAAAGAACATAAAATAAATAATATATGCAATATTTGTAATACTTTTATAACTTGCAATACTTCTATAACTTGTAATATTTTTATGTAATACAATTGTTTATCATATGCAGTATATTATAGTTCATACAATATCTTCATTATCTTACCCTTAATTCCAGATTTTTTAGGTTCTGAGATTTTTCGTAATTGACATGCAACTGATTTTGCAAAAACGTCGTCTTCATATGTTATATCAAACGACATTACATTTTAAGGTTTATTTTCTAAATGGGACGATACTGCTGATGTTAATTTTAAAAAAGATTCTTCTATTTTATCCGATGAAGATGCGCGTTTCAATTTTTTTGTAAATCTTCTTGGTGCATTAGATGATATGCCTGACGAAGAAGCAACAGATGATGCTGGAGATTCTCAATCAAATTGAGATAGAATTTATCTATTAGATAAAATCCTCGAATGTGTTGCTGGAGAAATTATATCGTTGTTTGATATTTTAGAACTTTCCAATAAAGAAAATATTTCATTGTTAGGAGTTGTTAGTGTATCTGGACTGTCCGGAAAAGGAAAATCATAATCGCTATCAACTGATTCTGGAGAAAATGAAGACAATGAATATGTTAATATTAATTTATCTTCAGTATTGATATATAAAGGTTTGCATAATTCTAAGGAATGAGCTATACTTGTTATTTTTGCAGGTTCAGGATTTATAGAAGATGGTTTGCATTGTGCATTATACTTATATGGTTTCTTAGCCGTATTTTTCTGGGAATAATTATCACTATCAGATGTTAGAACTGAGTGAGTAGGAGAATGGAATGCTGAAAGCTTTGACGAACTTGTAGAAGCTGCTGTCGCTGATGCATTGACCGTTTTTGACATCGGATTAGGCGATTTAATTATATCACCCTGAGTACTTGATCGGATATGCTTTGATATATTTGAGGACCCTACAATCACAATTCTATTTAAAATAACTTATATTTAAAATAATATTTTGCTAAATAAGTGTAATAATATATTATTAGCTGTTTAATAAATATAAACTCACCAAATTTTTTTGTTGGCTCGTTCGTTTCGATTGGATGCAATTGTGTAGAAGTCAATTTTGGTATATTGGTTATAGATCTTAATGATAGAAATGGAATAATTTAAATAAAAAATTATATTAACATTTTAAACTCATTCTACAACAGCTGTAAACACAACACGATGCAGTTCCATTATTATTTTTTGGAGAAAATAAAACATTTAAAAAGATAATATATATATAAATATATATATATATATATTTGTAATATATATATATATATATATGTAAATTCCATTTCTTCTTTTTCATTATGAATAGGTTGAACTATATTTGCTGCGTCTCTAACATTGTCTCTAACAATGTCTCTGCAATGTCTCTGCAATGTCTCTAACATTGATGAAGAAAACGAGTCTGGTAAAATAATTGAAGCAGACAAAGACTGTTTTCTTATTCTAAAAAAATGAAAAACAAAATTTATATTATTAATCAAATCAAAATATCTTAAAAATAGTTTCTTAGAACGCATTAATAAGATGTGAAAAATAACTCCAATGCAACACATGTAAAATTACACTTTGTGGATATAACGTTTGGATATAACGTTAGTTGTCAACGAATGAAAATAATTAATTTTGCATCTTACAGCGTTTATTTACAACCATTGTAGAATGTTGTACAAACTGTACAAATAATATAACTAAAAATTCGAAAACAGGACTGCACAAACAATATAACTAAAAATTCGACAAAAAAACTTACTTTCTACTCTTGACAAATTTAAACAAAAAATTCATTTGTTCGTATAAAGGAAATGATACTCTTGTTGTACTGCCACTGCCACTTCTTGTTTCCATCTGTTGTAATTTTTTTTTACGAGAATATCGTTCGCGCAGTTTCATCCACCTTGTTTGACAATCTGATGCTAAATGATATAACAAACAATTAATTTCATTAATTCTATATGCATAATAAGAAATACATTTTACCTGATATCAAAATTTGTTAAAAACAATTTTTTGTAAAAAATGTATGTAATTACACATAATGCCAGCACAATTTGCTGTAATTTATCGCCTTTTATATGACAACAATCTATTTTCAACAAATTTTATTAAGTGCTATACGACTATATACAATACTGATATAAAATAAAGTGTCCTATACCTGTTGTGTTTAAAATTTTTCCTATTTCTTTCCATGAGTTATTTCTTTTTATAATATCTTTAAAATCTTTTGATTCTTTGTCATAAATATGCGGATAACCTTTAACAAGATCCACTAATAGCGAGTTTTCCTCTCTCGAACTCATTCCATCTAGTATTTCATTTTCTTTTTCTTCATTTTCTCTTCCTTTTCTATAATATTTTCTATGATCTTCCATTTTAGACGATATGGTGCGACTAGTTTGTCGTTTTGACGGGATTTTGCTTCTGACATTTGATTAGCTGTACATAGACCATATGCAAAGAAATTTCGTTCTTATGGAATTTTTCGTTCATTATGCACATGTTCTGTCCATGCTTATGTTATGTAAATCAATATGGCTACTCTATGCTAGATGCTCATTGGTCGAGATGGCCTTATGTTATGTATATGCAGCTATGCTATGCATATGCATTTTGTGTGCGATGGGCTTAACGTCTACGACACTTAATATTCATCTATTATTAGAACTATGACAAAATCGAAAGTAAACAGGATGGAAAGAAGATATGACAATAATACGACGGCACAACTCTTTCACGATTGTAGATGTGTATGTGTATATGTGGTGCGTGTGCGTGAAAATAATTACGTTATCAATATCATATTAGATATAATTATGCAATCACGTATGATTTCACGAATGCGGCGTTTTTCACGTGTCATAGATTCGAAGGAAACGCCGCGTTAATAAACATGATTGATTTTGCAATTCATGTATCGTGTTACGGGTATATACGGACATTTCCATCTATTTTTCGAAAAGTCCGTAGCTCGGAAAGTAACATTATTATATATGGTTGGATTCGGAATTCAATGCTCTTTAATTTTTGTTTTTACAAAATTTTTGAAATTTGCGAAGATAATGAATGGAGGGGGGAGCAGGGAGGGTAAATTTGATGTTTTGAAAAATTTGAATTGACAGGTGTAAAGAGCATGAAATACTGTAAAACTCTTACATTTACTATGTTTTCATATCTCTCATATTTTAGAAGATATTTGATAAAAACGAAAAAAATCCATTTTTTCAAGGGGTGATTTCAACCCTTAAACCTCGAGATAAACACATATAAAAAAATATGTGTCTAATATTTTTTGATCCTCTACTACATATCCAATGCCCATTCAAATCGGTGAAGGACGCCCCCGACCGTTCCCTTGTCAGAACCCAGATAGCATTTTGACATGCAATGTATATACATTGCATATACATCCGCGGATATGACATATCCTATGTATATGTAATGATATACAAACGACGTACATTGTATATCGTATGTATGTGCGAATGCAACACAATGTATGTTCACTGGATATCCATACAATATACATATGTATATTTGTCGAATATTCTATGTATATGTATATGTTCATATACATAACAGATACTTTTGTACATATACTAGTAGATAAAATAGGGGGATTCTAACTCAAATTGCTAATTAATTATGCAAAAGACATTTATTAATTAATATTTTATAATTAATACCCCCCCTCTAATTGATCCCCCCTTAATTGATACCCCCTCTTAATTGATCCCCCCTCTTGATCGGTATCCCCTCTTAATTGATCCCCCCTCTTAATTGATCCCCCCTCTTAATTGATACCCCCTCTTTATTGATACCCCCTCTTTATTGATCCCCCCTCTTAATTGATACTCCCTCTTTATTGGTACCCTCCTCCTCCCCAGAATTTTTGATTCTATGAGCAAAATGGCAGCCGTGACGTCACGAGAGAAAAACGCGTTGGGATGTAGGTAGACTCGAACCTGGGCCTCGCGGTTGCTATCGGACGCTCGAACCTCCTAGACCATTGCTGCCTGTTGCTAGTAGATGTCTAGTGAAGGTTCTTACAGTATGTGTGATGACGTCACGCATACGTC